TTCGGTCGTGAATCCGCTACCCCATCCACTGGGCTACGGCCGCCCCCTGGTACATCAATATATCACCGACGCGCGTACACTACTCTAGATACCAGAAAAAGAACAGGCTCCGCCTTTTATTCTATCCTATCTCTCGTTCTCCTACAGCTGTAATGCCTTGGGGATATGATGCGATCGTCGCGCCATCGAGTGGATATTTGAGTCGGAAAATACTTGTCTTCAAGCTAAGCATAGGAAATACACTTCTATGTAGTACTCTTAATACAGTGGGGATATGATGCGATTTCATTCTCGCTCCGTCTCTCGTACTCTCATAGTCTTACTCCTCTAATCCGTGGTGCCGATTTCACTCTCGCTCCGTCTCTCGTACTCTTGTACTCTTAATACAGTGGGGATATGATGCGATTTCATTCTCGCTCCGTCTCTCGTACTCTCATAGTCTTAATACACTGGGGATATGATGCGATTTCACTCTCGCTCCGTCTCTCGTACTCTCGTACTCTTAATACAGTGGGGATATCATAGCGTCTCGCTCTTACCGCGGTGATTCGTTAGTAAGGCCGCTCTCTCTGTTGCACTATCGTACGTTCCTATAGCATTGTCTCGCATTGTTTTCGTTTCTGGCATGAGCCAACACGAGCACGTGGTTAAAAGCCTCAGTCTGGGACGGCACGCGACTACGTCTATTGTTTGTTTGGAAACGAACGTAAAGTGATAGATTGAAGATGCCGTACACTAAAAATGACAAAACGCAGAGCATTAGCCGAGACCTAGCATAAAAACACACACGGCTCATTCATTTTTACTCCGATTTAGAAGGTTTAAAAATAGGAAACATTGGCACCGAAAAAAATGTTAATAATCTTGAAAAAGATCGCGAGACACGACAGAGACACTCCACTTTGTGCCACGTACACCTAGTGCGAAATATGTTATTCCGAAGTTGATGGAGCACTTCATGTACCTAAAATGTTTATCTTGTGATTGTAAAGTATTGATGGTCCTGTCCATAGCACAGTCGACTGCAAACGCGATGATCTCAGGTTCGAGACCCTCGTATGTTACTTTTATTTTTTTTTTGCAAAAACTGTTTTATATTTTTGTGAATTCTATACTTTATTATTAATCAAATATAATTATAAAAATCATTAATTATTTTTATTTTATATGTTTTAATATAAAAAATATTTCAATACACAATTAAAGCAATTGAATAGTTCGTAACTATGAGTGATAATTATATCAATTTTTTTACGATTGTGGAAAGGTCTGTTTGCTACATCACAATTTCCTTTAGTCCTTATTAATTTATCAATTTTAATATGCCGTGTGAAAACACGGCATCTTAACGTAATACCGAAGTCTCACTGGGTTCTATCTTTCTCTCTCGTACAAACACGATTGCCAATGGCGCTACCTCACTCGCACCACACATAGCCACACAGTCACCATGGCTGTCAGTATAATACTCCGTCTGAAAGTGCGAAAGAGATAATGACTTTGCCTCCTTGTGTACGAAAATTTATGTTAGTTTCACGAAAGGTATCTGTTTATAGTATTATGCAATTTTCGATGGTGATTTATCATTTAACAATGAAGAATATACTCATGGAATGATAATGGCTGTTCTCAGGCATGATTCACTATGAAAAATAAATTTACTGACTCAATTGGCAATTGTGATGTCATTAATTATATTTAGTTTATATGTCCCTAAAAACACATACCATTTTACAACAGTGTAATGCAACAGATTGTGAATCAAGAATTAATATAAATGAAAGTGCTTTTATTTCAGAAAACAAAAACAACCATTGAGGTCCTGGAAGATTTAGATGCAGTAAGTGCGATTCCATATAAGACTAATAAACTACTATATAATATACTGATGTAGCGTAGTAATGAAACAGTTAATATTTTCTTGAGAACAGAAGACCAAAGACATAGAAGAATATGGACAAAGTACAGAAACGAGGCATAAAAAGATTTTTGGAAGACTCGTCATTTATAGTGTTGCTCTTTATATTGTGGTATCACTTATTTTCTATTTCATCTTTTTCCCAGCAGCTTTATACGATCAAATATTCTACATGACGCCACTTCTGTTATTCCCTTTTCTGTAAGTCATTCATAACAATGGTCCGTTTACTGTTTCTAGACTTAATGAATGATTATCATTATTTTGTTTATAGAATACTGTTCACACAAAAATTAATCTCATGGTACTATAAGAGAAAAATATCCAGAATTGAAGCAATGGCTGCTCATTTATTGGATTTGAATCCAGCATATT